ATGCCACTATCAAGGACTTGAAGGTTGCAGGGGTGGTGAGTCCCACAACATCTCCATTTAACTCTCCCATTTGGCCTGTGCAGAAGACAGATGGCTCTTGGAGAGTGACAGTTGATTATCATTAGCTTATCAGGTGGTGACTCCAATTGCAGCTGCTGTACCAGATGTGGTTTCTTTGCTTGAGCAGATTAATACATCTCCTGATACCTGGTATGAGGCTATTGATTTTGCAAATGCTTTTTTCTCCATCCCAGTGCATAAGGAACTCCAGAAACAATTTGCTTTTAGCTGGCAAGTCCAGCATATCCATTCACTGTCCTTCCTCGAGGGTATGTCAACTCTCCAGCACTGTGTCACAGCTTAGATACCTTGATTGTTGTTCTCTTCCATAGGGCATTACATTGGTCTATTATATTGATGACATTATGTTGATTGTACCAACAGAGCAAGAGGTAGCAACCACTTTGAACTTGCTAGTGGAACATTTGCATATCAGAGGGTGGGAAATAAATACCACCAAAATTCAAGGGCCTTCAACTTCAGTAAAGTTTTTAGGTGTCCAGTGATATGGAGCCTGCTGCTATTCCTTCTAAGGTGAAGGTAAGTTGTTGCACTTGGCCCCTTCTACAAATAAGAAAGAAGCACAATGCCTGGTGGCATTATTTGGATTTTGAAGGCAGCACATTCCTCACTTGGGTGTGTTACTTCAGCCCATCTACCCAGTGACTAGAAAAGCTTCTTGTTTTGAGAGGAGTCCAGAACAGGAGAAGGCTCTGTAACAGGTCCAGGCTGCTGTGCAGGCTGCTCTGCCACTTGAGCCATATGACCCGGCAGAGCCAATGTCAGTGTCAGCGGCTCAGAGGGATGCTGTCTGGAGATTTTGGTGAATCACAGAGGAGGCAATTGGGATTTTGGAGCAAGGTCCTGCCATCATCTGCAGACAACTACTCCCCCTTTGAGAAACAGCTCTTGGCCTCCTACTGTGCCTTAGTGGAAACTTAACCATGGACCACCAGGTTACTGCCTATTAGGACTGGATATTGTCTGACTCACCAAGCCATAAAGTTAGATGTGCTCAGCAGCACTCTGTCATTAGTGGAAATGGTATATAGGCAATCAGGCATGGGCAGGACCCAAAGGCACAAGTAAATTTCATGAAGAAGTGGCTCAATTGCTCATGGCTCCTATTCCTGCTGCAGTACCTTCTGTCCCTCAACATGAATCTATAGTTTCATGGGCTGTGTCTTATGATCAATTAACAGAGGAAGAGAAGACTAGGGCCTGGTTCATAGACAGTTCTGCAGGATATGCAGGTACCACCCAGAAGTGGACAGCTTCAGCACTGTTGATCCTTTCTGGAATGACCTTGAAGGACAGTTGTGGAGAGCAGTGACAGAGAATGGGAGAGCAGTGTCTGAGATTGGGGTCTCTGATGACCTCATGGCTGTGGCAAGCCTAGTGCCTGGGAATATTCTTGTGCAGGGGTGCAGGATACCTAGCTGCTGTGGCAATGCCCTGCATAAGAAGGCTCTGCAGAAGAGTCTTAGCCTAAACCTTGATCACAGGCACATAGTTCCTGAGAATAAAGGAACTCTCCTGCTAGACAACCACAATGTTTCACCAGCTTCACTACTTCTGAAGCTTCCCACTTAACCGTAACTTTAAACAATGAACTTTTTGAGAGCTACACAAAGCTTCTAACACTTACATTGCAACTGTAAACTGCACCTACAGAAAAGCTACATAAATGTTTCCAGCCCTATAACTTTCTTACAAAGAATAGTCTTTAACCTGATAATAAGACATATATAAATTAAGATTGCTGGTGTAACTCTGTAGACCTTCTTCTCCATCAGAGAGCAGCACTCCACCTGACCTCAACTAAATAGGTAAATTCTTCAAAACCCTCATCTGAGAGTCTTTATTTTTCTAATGCCCCCATAACCCTTTGCTGAAACCTGCGAGTTTGGCCAGGCTGGTCATGGCAGACAGTAGTGAAGGGAAATCTTCACAATAGGCAGAACTTTTGGCAGTGCATCTGGTGCCTGGAGGGGAAAATTGCCAGATGTGCAACTGTAAACTGACTGATTTATGAGCCATCAAAAACAGGTTGGCTAGCTTGTCAGAGAACTGGAAAAAAACATACTTGGAGAATCAGTGACAAAAACATTTGGGGAAGAGGTATGTGGATAGACCTCTCTGAATGGGCAAAAGATGTGAAGATATTTGTGTCTCATGTAAATGCTCACCAAAAGGTGACCTCAGTCGAGGAGGATTTTGATAATCAGGTAGATAGGATGACCTGATCTGTGGATAGCAGTCAACTTCTTTCCCCAGGCACCCTTGTCATTGTCCAATGGGCTCATGGAAAAAGTGGTCATGGTGGCAGGGATGGTGGTTATGCATGGGTCAGCAGCATGGACTTCCACTCAGCAAGGCTGATTTGGCTACAGTCACTGCTGAGTGCCCAATTTGCCAGCAGCAGAGACTGACACTAAGCCCCTGATATGGCCTCATTCCCCAGAGAAATCATCCAGCAACCTGGTGGCAGGTTGATTATATTGGACCACTTCCATCATGGAAGGGGCAGTTTTTTTTTTCCTTACTGGAATACACTTATTCTGGATGTGGATTTGCCTTCCCTGCACATAGTACTTCAGCCAAAACCACCATTCATAGACTTACAGAATGTCTTATCCAGCATCATGGGATTCTGCACAGCATTGCTTCAGACCAAGGAAATCACTTCACAGCCAAAGAAGTGAGGCAATGGGCTCATGCTCATGGCGTTCACTGGTCTTTCCATGTTCCTCACCATCCTGAAGCAGCTGTTTTGATAAAATGATGAAATGGATTCTTGAAGATGCAGTTACAGCACAGTTAGTTGGCAATGCATTGCAGAGCTGGGGCAAGGTTCTTCAGAAGGCTGTCTATACTCTGAATCAGCATCTACTTATTGGTACTATCTCTCTTATTGCTAGAATTCATGGGCCCAGGAATGAAGGGATGGAGACAGGAATGGTGCACTCATCATTATCCCTAGTAACTCACTAGCAAAGTCTTTGCTTCCTGTTCCTGCAAGCTATGCTCTAAAGTCCTATTAGCCTTAGTTCCAAAAGGAGGAATGCTTCTGCCTAGAGATACAATAATGATTTCATTAAACTGGAAGTTAAGAATTCCTCCTTGGGCTCCTCATGCCTCTGAGTCAGCAGGCTAAGAAGGGAGTTATGGTGCTGGCAGGGGTGATTGATCCAGATTACCAAGCAAACATTGGACTGTTATTCCACAATGCAGGTAAGGACACACATTCTCCTGGAATGCAGGAGATCTTTTAGGGTGCCTCTTGGTATTACCTTGTCCCATTATTAAGGTCAATGAGAAACTACAACAACCAAATCAGACAAGATGACAAATGTCTCAGACTCTTCAGGAATGAAGGTGTGGGACACACATCCAGATAAAGAGCCAAGACCTGCTGAGGTGCTTGCTGAAGGTAGAGGGCATACAAAGGCACAAGTAAATTGCATGAAAAACTGGCTCAATTGAAGAAGTTTGTATTATAAATACAAACTACAGCCACATGACCAGTTATAGAAATGAGGATTATAATTGCCATTGATAATTCTTCCCTATTCCATTAAGAATATGTTTGGGCAAACTTTCACATGCACTAAGAGGAAATAATTGTTAATCTCCTGTTATTCATCATGTAATGTAATATTGACTGATTTAACATCAGTAATGTTTTTGTTTTTGTTTTTTTTATTCTTGGGAAAGAACTAGTGCATTCTGTTGTAGCAAGGACAGTCATGTTAGGTGGAATTATAACCTTGTTATTGTGTTTATTTGGAGACTGAGTATGATGTAAAGAGTCATATTTGGATATCAAGTTGACAAAGGGTGTAACTGTAATGGTTAATTTGAATTGTCAACTTGATTGAATTAACAGATGCCAAGGTTAAAGAGGGTTATGGGTGTGTCAATGAGGGTGTGTATAGGAATGACTGGCATGTGGGAGAGCCAACTGAAATGGAGACCCTCCTAGGTATGGGCAGCACTGACCAATTGGGTGAGGGCTTGAATGGAATAAAAGAAGCAGCAGTTGATGCAAGCTTGATTCTTCTTGAACCGGTTCTTGATTGCTGCACATTCATCTGAGGATATCGAACTCTTGCTTCTTCGCTCTTCCAAAGTGGACTCTGATAGTGATTCTCTAGAAGACTTAAGTCTCAGACTATGGTAGCACTGTTGGTCCTTCTTGTTCTGGGGTTTCTGCCTTTTGGACTGTGCAGCTACTGATTCTTCCAGCTCTCCAGCCTGCAGACAGACATTGTGAACTATCCAGCTTCTGATCACCTAAGCCACCCTAATAAGTCCTCTTTTTATAATTATATTTCTTGTTCATTATGTTCCCATAGAGAACCCTGATTAATAAACTTGTTAACACAGTCCAATTTAAAAATAGAAACAAAAAATTTACTCTTCAAAAATGTAATCTTTCTTTCATTCTTTTTGTGGTGCTGGGAATAACCCAAGCTCCACACATGCTAGGCAAGTACTTTAACACTGAGTTACAACCAGGCCCCTAAAATAAAATCTAAACTAATAAAAGATAAAATAACAAAACTAACACTAACACAATGTTGCTTCTAACAAATAGAGCTTAGGAAGCCATTCACCTTTTATTTGATATACTCTGTGGCATGGAGAAAGGAGTTGGAAACATGCACATATTAGTGATTTAACAAAGCAGTTTCCTAGTTGGAAGCCTTCCAACATGGCTCATATTGCTTGGCATTGCTTGGCAGGTGGCAGCTAGACTCCAACACAGCAATCATTTAAAGGAAGGAGGGCAGGAAGTGGTGGGCACAGGCAAGAGTTGGGTAGATAGGAGTAGTGCCACATCAAGTGTTGAGAAACCACTCATGATGAACCTGATGCAACAGACTTCACACTCTCACTGCCCAGCAGGTCTCTGCACAGGAAAAACTGGGCTGTCCAGTATCTCGATAAGACTTACGCAGGCAGCAAACTTCCCTCCAGCTCCAGAAGGCACTTCTTCTCCAGCCAGAGAGCTATCCTGTAGCAACTGTCCATCCTGGAGGCTCTTCCTTTCAACACAGGCCAACTTGCCACATCCAGCAAGAAGAATGGAGGAAAGGTAAGACTGCTGTGTCTTTCCTCTCTGTCCATGTCCTCATTGGGTGGAGTGTTCATGGAGCCGTAAGGCCCACAGGAGAAAAGCACATGAAGCTTTCCTCCTGGTGGCTTTGGTGCTTTCAAGCTTTACTGTGGAGAATTCAAAGCTGCTAACCAAGACTATTAATTGGAGTCCATCCTCTTGCATGTAACCTTAAGGCATCTGCAAACTTTTCAACTGATGGACTCAAATGATTGTATTTTCTCACCAGGGAATCCATTCCATGGTCCAGCAACATCTGAGGCAATTGTAGTTCACCTCCAATAGCTGAGCTGATGGCAGATCTCAGCCAGTGGTCTTGAAAAATACCATCTACCTACTTAACCTAGAGCAAAGGCACTATTCCAGTCACATAGATAAAGTGAGAGTATGCTCTGCACACCCAGGGACAGTAGCAACTGCCTATTCAAAACCTAGGCTAAACCATTAGTGAAGGTCTACCCCTACCAAAGAACATCACTAATAGTCAAAATAAAAATATGATTGTCTACACAAATGTATAAAATCGCGCACACACACACACACACACACACAAACACACACACCTTACCAAGACTCAGGAAATCATGACACCTCCAACACAAAGCTCACACAAAAGATGCTAAACAAAGAGATGTCTAAGAAGCGACATAGAAAAAAATCAGAAAACTCGTATTTAAAAGTTCAGTGAACTTAAAGATCATACATATAAAAATTAGTTATGGTGAGGGTGAAAGTAATCATCTCCCACAAAGATACTAATTTAAACAGCTCTTCCTTCACCAAAGTACATTCACAAGAGCTAAGGAAGCCAGAGAAGAGACTGGTTTTAATATAATAAAAAGAAAGTCCCATTGAAGAAGGCAGGAAGGAAAGAGTTAGCCACATCAAACTTCCTTCAAACTGAGTGTAGAAAATGCCTACCACTTGAAAGAGGAAAAGGAACTTAAGTTCAGGCTTTAGACTTGAAACCCAATACCAGGCCCATCACAGTCAAACATCCTGCCCGACAGAGCACACAGCCCCTGCCCCCAGTCTAGTATCCAAAAACTGATTCTCTGGACTTCATTAGCAAGGGGATCAAGGGACTGTCTCCAACCACCCTCCCTCAATGTCAAGTAACACATCATGCAGCAGACTCCACCTGCTAGGAGGTAGGGCAGCACAGTAAGCACAGGACTTTACCTCAGAAATCAGTGCCAGATGCTCTACAGTGAAACATAAACCTAGGCAGAGCCTAAATGCCCAAGTCGACAGGCAAAACATTACAGACAGAATGTAGACATGCCCTGGCCCCAGGCAGAGAGGAACAGACTTTTATTTTGGCCAACATCACCATAAGTCTCAATGTGGGCCTGGAGAACACCCTCAAGATTTTTAAGGTCCTTGAAACTATGACACTCAGGTGTGACCCAGCTTAGAATCAGCCAAGGGAAGATTGCCTTTATCCCCTGCCCCAATCTCAGGCTGCACAGAAGGAAGCAAAACTCCATCCACTGGGGATTAACAAAAGGTAGTAAGCATAGGATCTTGTCTTGGAACTCAGTGTTGAGCCAGTGACAGCTATCACTGTGCAGATCCTTATAGCCCCTATCTTTAGGCAGGTATCCATAGATAGATGTGTCGACCTGCCCTGCTACCAGACAGAGAGTCAAGTGGCTCAGTTGATTGGACTTGTGTCCTGGCCAGAATCACCTGTGGATATTGGCATGGGTCTCAGCCTTGACTTTACTATAGCAGCAGGCAGCCTATGACAGCATGGGTCCTGGTGTACACCTGTGCTGCACTGTTTTAAGTAGGCTGTGCAGTCTAAGTGTGATCCAATATGGTGGCATTAGAGGGCCACAGGATGGCCCACTCTATCGCCACACAATTTAGGCAATACAAACAAAGGATGAATAATTTTCTGTCTGGGGGCAGAAAATGGAGGTAGGAACTAAGTTTTAGAACAGAAGCTTGGAGCTGGTCCTCTATGGTTATGCTCAGAGCTGGAGAGAACCCCACAGTGCCAAACTACATAGTGTTTTGTTTTGGTTTTTATTGAATTTATTAATACACAACAACAGAATGCATTATAATTCTTATTACACATATAGAGCACAATTTTTCATATCTTTGTATATAAAGTATGTTCACACCAATTAATGTCTTTATACATGTACTTTTTTGCATTACAATTCTTAATACACATATATACCACAATTTTTCATATCTCTATCTGTATATAAAGTAGGTTGACACCCAATTCATGTTTTCATACATGTACTTTGGATAATGATGTCCATTACATTCCACCATCCTTGCTAATCCCCTGCCTCCTCCCTTTCCCTCCCTCCCCTTTTCCCTATCTAGAGTTCATCTATTCCTCCCATGCTCCCCCTCCCTACCCCACTATGGGTCAGCATCCTTATATCAGAGAAAACATTCAGCATTTGTTTTTTGGGGATTGGCTAACTTCACTTAGCATTATCTTCTCCAGTGCCATCCATTTACCTGAAAATGCTAGGATTTTATTCTTTTATTGTTGACTAAAATTCCATTGTGTATATATGCCACATTTTTTTTATCCATTCATCCACTGAAGGGCATCTAGGTTGGCTCCACAGTGTAGCTATTGTGAATTGTGCTGCTATAAACATTGATGTGGCTGTGTCCCTGTAGTATGCTGTTTTTAAGTCCTTTGGGTATAGTCCGAGGAGAGGGATAGCTGAGTCAAATGGTGGTTCCATTCCCAGATTTCCAAGGAATCTTCATACTGCTTTTAAGATTGGCTGCCCCAATTTGCAGTCCCACCAGCAATGTATGAGTGTACCTTTTTCCCCACATCCTCACCAACACTTATTGTTGTTTGTCTTCATAATAGCTGCCATTCTGACTGGAGTGAGATGAAATCTTAGAGTAGTTTTGATTTGCATTTCTCTGATTGCTAGAGATGATGAGCATTCTTTCACATATTTGTTGATTGATTGTATATCATCTTCTGAGAATTGTCTGTTCAGATCCTTGGCCCATTTCTTGATTGGGGTATTTGTTTTTTCGATGTTTAGCTTTTTGAGTTCTTTACATAACCTAGAGATTAGTGCTCTATCTGATGTGTGAGGGGTAAAAAATTGCTTCCAGGATGTAGGCTCTCTGTTCACCTCACAGATGGTTTCTTTTGCTAAGAAGAAACTTTTTAATTTGATTCCATCCCATTTATTGATTCTTGGTTTAATTCTTGCGCTATAGGAGTTTTATTAAGGAAGCTGGAGCCTAAGCCCACATGATGAAGATTAAAGCCTACTTTTTCTTCTATTAGACGCAGAATCTCTGGTTTAATTCCTAGGTCCTTGATCCCAAACTGCATAGTGTTGGCCAGATAAGTTATCTATTCCTACATGGCATCTGGCAGAATATTGTGGAGACAAACTATACCTTTTAGGCACTCCCCTGGATCATTCAGAAGAACACACCAACTGTGGTTTTGGGGAAAGCTTGGACTTGGACTAACTACCCCCTAGTGGTGAAACAGCAATAACACCAACAACAAAATCGCAAACCTGGAAGGAGGGCATTATCTAGTTATGAAACAGAAAAATGAACCACAGACTCAAAGAAAATAAGTATGTCAGTTAGAATTTCTGGAAGGATGGGCATAGTGTCAGATTGTAAAAACTGGAATAAATACTCAACCCTTCAATATGCAGACCATGTAAGCCACCAAGGATCAAAATCCGTCAGGAAGGGCGGAGAGTAGAGTATGTGCTTGGAATGTGTAAGACCTCTGGTTCAATTTCAGGTACCAATAAATAAATAAATAAATAAATACAGGACTTTCATTCTCACCTAATGAACAAAACAAAATTCCAGACAATGACCATAAGGTAATCAACATTTGCAAACTGATAAGTAGGACAGATAATTCAAATGTGGGGTGTATGAAGGAAACCAAGCAAGCTTCAAAAAACACAGAGGAACAATTCAAGACTCAATCAGAGAACAGAGAGAATGAAGTGATTTTTTTAAAATGAAACAAATCTTTGAGCTGAGAAGTACACTACTTAAAATTTTAAAACACAATAGAAGGCATAAATAGCAGGGTAGATCAAACAATCAAAACCAGTGAACTCAAAGTTAGTCTGTATGGTAGGACATAGTTAAAGGAGAAAAAAAGCAAAAACAAAAAATGAAGGGAAATGAGAATGAATATTCATGAGAGCTTTGGGATAGCCTTTGAGAATAATATTTTACGTTGTTGGGATTCAAAAGGGACATGAGAAGGCCAAGGGGACAGACAAATCATTCAAACAGATAAAAATGAAAAAGTACCCAAACATAGAGATGGTACAAATACCCAAGTACCACAAGGTCAAAGGTCAGGAATCAGAGTCAACTCAACCATGTATACACCAAGACATGACCATCAAGCTTTCAAACCTTAAAGACTAATATAGAATTCTCAAAGGATAAGAAGAAAGGAATAAGCAACACATGAGGGTGTTATAATTTATCTGTCTGCAGACTTCTCAGAAAAAAAAGCTTTACAGGCCAAGAGGAAGTAGGATGAGATTTTCACAGTCCTGAAGGAAGAGAACTACTGACCAAGAATACTATGCATATCAAAGCTAGGCTTGAAAATGAAGGAGACATAAAGGTATTCCCAGACAATCTAAAGCTGAGAGAATTTATGAGCACCAGACTGCCCTACAAGAAATGCTGAAGGGAGTTCTTCAAACTGGATGGAAGAGATAATAATGAGGAAGAGGAAAACATCAAAAGTTATAAAAAAATCCCAATAGGAGTAATTATACAATACAGAACAATACGAAATGTTCTAATATTATAAACATGTTTATTTAGTATGTTATAAACATGGTGAGTAAACCAATAATCTGTTCAGTATGAACACAAAACCATCAAAAATAAATGGATGGAGCTGGAGAATATCATGATAAGCTAAATAAGCCAAACCAAAGTCTGAATGTTTTCTCTGATAAGCGGCT